GGTTAACTAGTAGCAAAGCCTACAACTTTGTGTCAGCAAATAAAGATCCAACTGAACATGAAATAGTACAACAGCATTGAACAGGTATACATAAAATTGAGAATGAAAATGGGGAATGTGTTAAAGAATCAACAACCCGACCATAGAGCAGACAACAGCCGAAGGCCATGTTTGATGTCAGTTATAATTGATGCATTATAAAAATAAAGAGATGTGGTATGATTGCCAATGATACAACTATCCACCAAGGTTCAAATGAAATGAATGTATACAATTATAGGCAACCGTACAACCTTCAACAATGAGAAAACCCATACCGTATAGTCGGCTATAAAAGGCCCTGACATGAAAAATATGAAACAATTCATTTGAGAAAACTATCGGTCTAATTTATAACAAAACAATTTACGAAAAACAAATTTCAGACATGAACCAACAAATACCAGTGAACTACAGGCTCTTGACTTTGGACAGGCACATATAGAATGGTATGTTGTTTCAAATAAACGTATGCAAAGCAAATATGGATGTATAAAGCTTTTATATACAACTATATATATTTGTGTATACAACAAGATGAAAATTTATAAAGGACTGTCCTTCAAAAACTACACCAATTTATACTACTACGTATTCAAATGCATCACACCAGATGCTATATACTAATTAAACAATTATAGGAACATTTTAATACATTCCATTTAATATTCATGCTTTGCTGAAGAATTTAATATGATTGATTGATTGATGGTTGCATAAAGTTCAGTGGCTAATACTTCATGCATGTTCATGACGAGAACAAATTAACAATAAGTACAATGGGTAGGTACTGTAAGAGGGGTCGTCCATGAAGAAGGTCAGTGAAATTTGGACTGCCACAGGAAAATGAGGGTACATTGGACAGGGACAGAAATTCAGCCTTGCAACAGGCCACCTACTGACCCCTCATAAGAGTTGTTGCAAGGGTTTTTAACTTGCAAAGAGTGTGGCACTCTCCCTATACAAGGCATCAGATTTAACGTCCCCATTCTGACAGTACGTGGCTGTGCACTTATACATCCCACATAGCCATTCGAATGACCCACTCTGGCAAGGGTTTTACTGCCAGTCGGAGGAAGACCTATGGTGACCAAATTCCAATCCCTTAGTCACCCTTGAGGGGAAGAAGAATTTAATAGCAATGAAATCTTTTTGTTCATTGGGATATTGCTCCGTGTTGAAGGCCATACCGTAAACTTTACTGGTTGCAAACCTCAACAAATTTGGTCTTTGGTGGAAGTTTGTCTCATTGACAATCATACAAATTCTTATTTTTAGAAGATTTGGTAAATTGTTAAGTTGGATTGACCTGTTATATTCAATTACCACAAACACTTTCTTGTCAAATTCAATGCTTTATAACTTTGTACAGATACTAGCAAATATAAATAAAAGTTTAAAGGGAAAAAAACTTTTATCTTAAAATATAAAAAAAAAAGTAAAAAATATAATAGTATCATTGCGTTGCCATTTCAATGCATTTACCGTAATCTTCAGGATTCTCTTTATTTCATGCATGTTATATTGTCATCATTTTAATTGGTGTTTTGTGGCAAATTGTTGTCTTGCACGGACCGCTTCAAACATATTGATAAAAGAATTGTCCAAATCACATTCTACTCTGTGTTTGGTAGTAAGGTTGTTGCCTGCGTTACCACTGTAACTACAAATATTCCCCTGTTTTGCGTTCTTTAGAATATATATCATATTATATTTGTCCATAATAAAACGGACATTGTGAATGTTACATCTAGATTGTTTTTTATGTCAATTTCCGTGTCTGTATGGTGTTACTTTAAAACACACAACTGAATAAAATTTTTGTTATATAAATTTAGAGACGGACGCGCGTAGCTCCGTACTGGGTGTGGGTTTTTAAAACAAGAGGCTCTCAAGAGCCTGAATCGCTCACCTGCATTTCAGAGAAGATTTTTAAATGTTAGCAAACTTGAGGAACAAATTGTGTAAAATTGTCTTTAAAGGGCAATAACTCCTTAAGGGGTCAATTGACAATTTTAGTCATATTAACTTTTTTGTAGATCTTACTTTGCTGAACATTATTGCTGCTTACAGTTTATATATATCTATAATAATATTCAAAATAATAACAAATAAAATGCTCCGCAGGGCGCAGCTTGATACGACCGCAGAGGTCGAACCCTGAACAGTTGGGGCAAGTATGGACACAACATTCAAGCTTGATACAGCTCTGAATTTGGATTGTGATTAAATATTTGACACAGCATAGGTTTCTGACACAGAATGAATGTGGTCTAAGAACTTAAAAATTTTAAATTGGACATTCACCTATTATGGTCCAATATCCAAAATCTAAATACATGGTTAGATTCAGCATATCAAAGAACCCCAAGAATTCAATTTTTGATGAAATCAAACAAAGTTTAATTTTGGACCCTTTTGACCTCAATGTGGACAAAGTTGATAACGGGGCCCAAAAATCAAAAATCTAAATACATGGTTAGATTCAGCATATCAAAGAACCCCATATATTCAATTTTTGTTGAAATCAAACAAAGTTTAATTTTGGACCCCGATTTGGACCAACTTGAAAACTGGGCCCATAATCAAAAATCTAAATACATGTTTAGATTCAGCATATCAAAGAACCCTAAAAATCCAATTTTTGTTAAAATCAAACTAAGTTTAATTTTGGACCCTTTGGACCTTAATGTAGACCAATTTGAAAACGGAACCAAAAATTAAGAATCTAAATACACGGTTAGATTCGGCATATCAAAGAACCCCAATAATTCAATTTTTGATGAAATCAAACAAAGTTAAATTTTGGACCGTTTGGACCTCAATGTGGACCAATTTAAAAACAGGGCCCAAAATCCAAAAACTTAATACACGGTTAGATTCAGCATATTAAAGAACCCCAAGAATTCAAGAATAAAACCCCATTGAAATTGATCAAGAAATAAGCAATTTATACGAAGTATCTTCTTTTGAACAATACTGTGCAATTGAATATTTCTTGCTATTGCGCAATACTGTACAATTGACAATTTCTTGCTATTGCGCAATACTGTGCAATTGAAGATTTCTTGCTATTGCGCAATACTGTGCAATTGAAAATTTCTTGCTATTGCACAATACTTATTATATAACAATTTACACATCCTGTTTGGTGTGTATCTCCTACCATATCATTATTATTTGCTTTTAAATATAAATCAGAAATAACCAACTTAAAATGGAAAATTTTAAAAGAAAAAAAAAAGGAAAAAAAGAAAAAAAAAAAAAAAAAACCCCTCCCCAAATTTTTTGAACCCCCTTATGATTCATCACCCCCAAACTCAATCCCAGCCTTCCCTTTGTGGTATGGTACCTTGCAGTACAATTTCAGAGAGATCCATACACTTGAACACAAGTTATTGTCTGGAAACTAGAAAAATGCTTATTTTTGGCCCCTTTTTGGCCCCCAATTCCTAAACTTTTCGGGCAATTACTCCCAAACTCAATTCCAGCTTTCCCTTTGTGATATGGAACCTTGTAGTACAATTTCAGAAATATCCAAACACTTACACACAAGTTATTGTCATGAAACTAGAAAAATGCTTGTTTTTTGCCCCTTTTTTGGCCCCTAATTCCTAAAATTTTGAGGCAATTACCCCCAAAATCAATTACAGCCTTCCCTTTGTGATATGGAACCTTGTGGTACAATGTCAGAGAAATCCATACACTTACACACAAGTTATTGTCTGGAAGTTACAAAAATGCTTATTTTTGGCCCCTAATTCCTTAACTGTTGGTACCATAACCCCCAAAATCAATCCCAACCTTCTTTCGTGGTATTGAACCTTATGGTAAAATTTCATGGAGATCCATTCACTTAAACTAAAGTTAGAGTGCGAAACCAATGTGACTTCGGAAGACGACGACGACGACGCCAACGTCATACCAATATACGACCAAAAAATTTTTGCGGTTGTATAAAAACTGCAAATTTTTGTTAAAACTACCAATTCGGTGGCAGCAACCCAACAATGGGTTGTTTGATTCGTCTGAAAATTTCAGAGCTGATAGATCTTGACCAACTGAACAATTTTACCCCATGTCACATTTGCTCTAAAAGATTTAGTTTTTGAGATATAAGCCAAAAACTGCATTTGAACCTTATGTTCTATTTTTAGCCATGGCGTCCATGTTTGTCGATGGATACAAACTTCGGATACAATTTATAAACTAGATACCCTAAGGAACATTTAGTTAAAGTTTGAAGGTAATTGGCCCAGTAGTTTCAGAGGAGATTTTTAAATGTTAGCAAACTTGATGAACAAATTGTGTGAAATTGTCTTTAAAGGGCAATAACTCCTTAAGGGGTCAATTGACAATTATGGTCATATTAACTTTTTTGTAGATCTTACTTTGCTGAACATTATTGCTGCTTACAGTTTATATATATCTATAATAATATTCAAAATAATAACAAAAAACTGCAAAATTTTGTTAAAACTACCAATTCGGTGGCAGCAACCCAACAATGGGTTGTTTGATTCGTCTGAAAATTTCAGAGCTGATAGATCTTGACCAACTGAACAAGTTTATCCCTTGTCAGATTTGCTCTAAAAGCTTTAGTTTTTTAGATATAAGCCAAAAACTGCATTTGACCCCTATGTTCTATTTTAAGCCATGGCGGCCATGTTTGTCGATGGATCAAAACTTCGGATACAATTTATAAACTAGATACCCTAAGGAACATTAAGGTAAAGTTTGAAGGTATTTGGCCCAGTAGTTTCAGAGGAGAAGATTTTTGAAATAGTTTACGACGACAGACGACGACTAAAGACGACGTACGACGACGGACGCCAAGTGATGGCATAAGCTCACATGGGGCCCTTCGGGCCCCGGTGAGCTAAAAAGTACTTTTTTCTCATCGACCTTTCATAACACGCAGGGGATCCGATGAACGAGGTATTAATTTGGCGTGGCCTTACCTGTTTAGTAACTTCATCTGTTAACCTTTCTACTTCTGCATTGTTCATAGGACCATTGGCCGCAGGGCCAGAAACAGCTGTTTTCTCCCCCTGAAAGAGACCATTAAAAGCTGTTGTAATTAAGCATATATACTCATCATAGATACCAGGCTTAAATTTTGTACACCAGATGTGAGTTTTGTCTAAAAATAAGGCTCATCAGTGACGCGCTAATAAAAATAAATTTTGATAGTGTCCACATGTGGACACAGATGATACCCCCGCTTGCATATTATATAGTTATAAAGGGACATAACTGAAGAACGGTAAAAGTGACGCTACCCAAATTTGAACTTGATCTGAGTTTTGTGGTAATAAGCATTGTGTGTAAGTCTCATAACATTTGGTTGAGGCTAACTTAAGAAGAGAACAGAAACTAAAAATTCAGCAATTTTTCTATTTGTAAACACGCATAACTCTAGAACGGTTGTGTATATTAAAATTTTATTACAACAAACTAAATAAACTGTTATCACAGAGATATGTCTCGCCTTTTTGTAATTTTGATAATGCAAATGTTGAAATTAAAATAGCAATACTTTAACATGTAAGTTATGCAAATATTCAAAGTCGATGAACCATTACTGAAGGTACATGGCTAAACAATCTCCATGGAATGAGACATGCCAATGCTAATACAACTGCATACCAAATACCATTGACTTATTATAAGTCGTTCCCTTTAAACAAACCTAAACACAAACATTAACATAGAAATTTCAAAGTCAATGAACCATGATCAGGGGTGGGGCTTTATAATCTCCATGGAAACGATACTTGCAAATGCCAATAAATTTGCATACCAAAATATCATTGACTTAACATTAGCAGTTCATCTTAAACTGATCTAATCACAAACTAATACATGTAAACTAAGCAAAAGTTTCAAAGTAAATAGACCATGACTGAGGGGGCGGGGCCAAATATTCTCCATGGAAATGAGATGTGCTAATGCTTATACAACTGAACACCAATTAACATTAGCCTACCACTAATGGTTCCCCTTGAACTGACCTAATGACAAACTAATACATGTTAACTTATCAAAATTTTCAAAGTCTATAGACCATGACTAAGGGGGCAGAGCCAAATAATCTCCATGGAAATGAGATATGCCAATGCTTATACAACAATACCAAATATCATTGACCTACCACTAGTGATTCCCCATAAATTGACCTAATCACAAACTGATACATGCATGTAATCTATGAAAAGTTTCAAAGTCAATAGACCTTGACTGAGGGGGCGGGGCCAAATAATCTCCATGGTAATGAGATGTGCCAATGCTAATACAACTGCATACTAAATATCATTGACCAACCACTAGTGGTTCACCATGAACTAGACCTAATCACAAACTAATACATGTTAACTTAGAAAATTTTCAAAGTCTATAGACCAGGACTAAAGGGGCTGAGCCAAATAATCTCCATGGAAATGAGATATGCCAATGCTTATACAACAATACCAAATATCATTGACCTACCACTAGTGGTTCCCCATAAATTGACCTAATCACAAACTGATACATGCATGTAATCTATGAAAAGTTTCAAAGTCAATAGACCTTGACTGAGGGGGCGGGGCCAAATAATCTCCATGGTAATGAGATGTGCCAATGCTAATACAACTGCATACCAAATATCATTGACCTACCACTAGTGGTTCACCATGAACTGGACCTACCGTTATCACAAACTAATACATTGTTGACCACGCCGCCGTTGTCGCCAATGCTGGAAACAGCATACCTATGTCTCGCTTTTTGACTTCATCAAAGCAAAAAAAAAAATTCAGCAATTTTTATGTTTATAAAGGGACATAACTCAAGAATGGTAAAAGTGTTGCCACCAAATTTTGTACTTAATCTGTATTATGTAGTAATAAGCATTGTGTATAAGTTTCATAACATTTGGTTAAGGCAAACTAAAGTTAGAAAACGGAAACAAGAAATTTGTACTTGATCTTAGTTTTGTGGTAATGAATATTGTGTATAGGTTTCATAATGTTTGGTTGGGGCAAACTTAAGTTACAGAATGGAAACTAAAAATTTTGCAATCTTTCGATTTTTATTGGGGCATAACTCAATAATGGTTAAAGTGACACTACCCGCATTCAACTTGATCTGTGTTTTATCAGTGGAAGTCAAAATTAAACATTGCAATGTATAAAGCATTGATTGCAGTTGATTCAACTATAATCATGGACAAAGGAAGATAACTCCAATTTTAAAAATTACTTGATATTTAGAAGAAAATAAAAAATTTTGCAATTTTTCCATTTATAAAGGGGCATAACTCTAGAACGGTTAAAGTGACGCCACCAAAATTCAAACTTGATATGTGTTTTGTGGTAATAAGCATTGTGTATAAGTTTCATAACATTTGGTTGAGGCAAACTTAAGTTAGAGAACGGAAACGAAAAATTCAGCAATTTTTCCATTTGTAAAGGGGCATAACTCTAGAACGGTAAAAGTGACGCCACCAAAATTCAAACTTGATCTGTGTTTTGTGGTAATTAGCATTGTGTATAAGTTTCATAACATTTGGTTGTGGCAAACTATAGTTAGAGAACGGAAACGAAAAATTCAGCAATTTTTCCATTTGTAAAGGGGCATAACTCTAGAACGGTTAAAGTGACGCCACCAAAATTCAAACTTGATCAGCGTTTTGTGGTAATAAGCTTTGTGTATAAGTTTCATAACATTTGGTTGAGGCAAACTAAAGTTAGAGAACGGAAACGATAAATTCAGCAATTTTTCCATTTGTAAAGGGTCATAACTCTAGAAAGGTAAAAGTGACACCACCAAAATTCAAACTCGATCTGTGCTTTGTGGTAATAAACATTGTGTATATGTTTCATAAGATTTGGTTGAGGTAAACTAAAGTAAGAGAACGGAAACCAATTTTGGGACGTACGTACGTACGTTCGTATGTACGTACGTACATACGTACAGACGGACAAGGGTAAAACTTAATGCCCCATCCGCTACGGCGGGGGCATAAAAACTTGTAAGGGTTCCACGGAACCTAGTGTCTCGCCTTCTTTTGCTGTTAGTCGCAGGCGCAACAAAAATGGGGAAAAAATTATTAAAAATTTTCCTCTAGATACTATCTTTTGATTGTAAGAAGTTCTTTTCAAGTTTGGTAAAAATCCAAGAAAGTTTATGAATCTAATAAATGTTTTAAAAACTTTAACTGCAGACTGTACATAATGTTAACTGGAATAAAACTAAGTCCATTTATAAGTAATATATGGAAAAACAGGAAATAAATTTTTACAAAATTTCCTTCTAGATACTAGCTTTTGATCACAAACAAGCTTCTGTCCAAGTGTGGTACAAATCCAGGATAGTTTGAGAAAGTTATTAAAATTTGAAAAACTTTAACCACAGAGTGAATGTTATGTTAACTGACAAAAAAAACTAAGTCCATATATGAGTAAAATACCGATAAACATGATTTTTTTTTTACAAAATTTTCTTGTGGATACTATCTTATGATTATAAACAAGCTTCTGTCCAAGTTTGGTACAAATCTAGGATAGTTTAAGAAAGATATTAAAATTTGAAAAACTTTAACCACAGAGTGAATGTTATGCTAACTGGTAGAAAAACTAAGTCCATATATGAGTAAAATACGGATAAACAGGATTTTTTTTTTTACAATATTTTCTTCTGGATACTATCTTATGATTATAAACAAGCTTCTGTCCAAGTTTGGTTGAAATGCAGAATAGTTTAAGAAAGCTATTAAAATTTCAAAAACTTTAACCACAGAGTGAATATTTGTGGACGCCGCCGACGGAATGTAGGATTGCTGTCTCGCTTTTGTGCCAAAAGTCGCAGGCTCGACAATAAATGAGTACTTCAGCACATCATCTCCTTTCAGAAATATTTTGGTTGAACTAATTAAGACTACAAGCATGACCCCAAAGAAAATTTTTTCACCTCTGAAAAACAAATTTTTGAAAAAAATAAAAAACAAAATTTCTCTTGCTCACTCCACTTTTTTCAACAGTAGGAGTTGATAATTACATACTGCTGAGAATCTACAATAAAATGCTTCGCTGAGCGCAGCCTGATACGCCCGCAGTGGTCCAACCCTGAACAGTTGGGGCAAATTTGGATACAATATTCAAGCTTGATACTGTCTGAATTTTGATTGTGATCAAATTTTTGACATAATAAAGGTTTCTGACACAAAATAAATGTGGTCAAAGATCTTACAAATCTATTGCCCAATACTGCGCAATTGAAGATTTCTTCTTTAAACTTTTCAAAAATTTGATTTGAACACTTTTGAAAAAAAATATGAATTCCTTACAAAAATTGGAAAAAAATCCCCCCCCCCCCCCCCCCAAAAAAAAACAACTTTTGGAAATCCCCCCTGGAGCAATAACCCAAAGACTCAATCCCATCCTACCCTTTGTAGTATGGAACCTTGTAGTACAATTTCAGAGAGATCCATACACTTAAACACAAGTTATTGTCTGGAAACTAGAAAAAATGCTCCTTTTTTGCCCTTTTTTGGCCCCTAATTCCTACAAGTTTGAGGCAATTATCCCCAAACTCAATCCCAGCCTTCCCTTTGTGATATGGAACCTTGTGGTACAATGTCAGAGAGATCCATACACTTACACACAAAGTATTGTCCGGAAACTACAAAAACTGTTGTTTTTGGCCCTTAATTCCTAAACTGTTGGCCCCATAACCCCTTAAATGAATCCCAACCTTCTACTTGTGGTATTAAACATTGTGGTACAATTTCAGAGCAATCAAAATACTTATACACAAGTTAATATCCTGAAACTAGAAAAATGCTTGTTTTTGGCCCCTTTTGGGCCCCTAATTCCTAAATGGTTGGGACCATCATCCCCAAAATCAATCCCAACCTTCCTTTTGTGGTATTGAACCTTCTTAAAAAATTTCATAGAGATCCATTCACTTAAACTAAAGATATTGTCCAGAAACCAATGTGTCTTCGGCCGCCAACGACGACATCATACCATTATACGATCCCAAAAATTTGTTTGCGCTCGTATAAAAAATAGCAAGAGCCTTTTGATCTTTTAAAATGGTATTCAAAGGGAGTGTTATTTGATCTTTCATATGGTGTTCAAATTTGGGTCATTTGATCTTTCCTATAGTTTTAAAGGCAGGTGTTGTCTGATCTTTTCAGTGGTATTCAAAACAAGCATTCTGAGAGTACTGCATGGCAATACATAGTCCCCTAAAGGTCAAAAATATTGTACTGGAACAAAATGCTAACTTGATCTATAACTTGCCATGGTGTTAACTATATAAGAAATATCAAGTCAATATATTCAAGCATGACAAAAAAAAGTGTGGAAAACTGATTATTTAAGTGAATTTTCAAAGTCCAAGGACCATAACTCTGCACAAAATCATCAGACCGGAACAAAATTCGAACTTGATCTGTAACTTGACATGATAAAACTACATACCAATTATCAAATTAATATCTTCAAGCCTGATGAAAAAAGCGCAGAAAACTGATTATTTGAGTGAATTTTCTAAGTCCAAGGACCATAGCTCTGCACAAAACCATCAGACCTGAACAAAATTCGACCTTGATCTGTAACTTGTCATGATAAAACAATATACCAAATATCAAATCAATATCTTCAAGCACAAAGAAAAAAAGTGTGGAAAACTGATTTGCCGGACAGACAGACAGACAGACAGACAGACAGACAGACAGACTGACGGACAGAGTGCAAACCTTAAGTCCCCTTTGACTTCATGTATCTCAACTTCAAGATTTATTTAGGTAGAAATGTGTCTTCCTGACTCCTAACTATTAGAGCTGAACAGGGGTTAAAACAGCATGATTATAACAAAGGTCCAGGTCATTTCTGGTAAAATTCATGATAAGATAAGTCCAAGGGAATTCAGCCAGGCTCAGTTGTGCTTGTTATCTTTTTCATTGGCATTCAAAATATTCATGCAAAGCAGTAACTTTGAATGTTTTCAAATAGTTCACAAATTCACATTATATAAATAATTTGAAAATAACAGATTTTGCCACTTTTGCTGAATAGATAGCCAGTAAAGCCTTAGACTTTCAAATACTGTACAATCCATCAAATATCTTATACAACAATGCCTTTATATGTCATTTATGGTTGTAATGGGATGTTTAGTTGCTGCATCATTGACATATACCCCACATTTCACTGAATTGATTTCATACCATAATATATATTTGGAAATTTTATTCTCAAATTTAGTTCCTTTGTTCCTTGAAGACACGAGAATCTCATTTTTGTAATCCCAATTAGTTATGGTGGTTGTGATATGATACATGGATGTCATAGATGTCTGTCCCTTTCAATTGTTTGTTTGCGTTTTTGAAAATAAAATTTGCAATCTAAATCTCTTCTCTATAAACTGCATGATGAATTTCACCTTAATATACAAATAGCAAAACCTTACAATAATTCAAAATCATACGAGGTTTGAATTATTGACTTGCAAGCCAATAATACATCAGCAATGCTTTTGACCTTATTTTGACAAAATTGAAGCAAACTAATTGCTAATAGCAAAATATTATTTCGCAAGTCTGCTTTAAAAAATGTTTGAAACAAACAAAAAATAACATTTTGATTTTTTTGTCAACTTCCTAGCAAATGCCCCTTTAATTCTGAACTTTGACATAAAACAGTATTGAAGTCAATGATGTATTAAATGTCTGTTAGAGTGACCTTCTTTTGGCAGGAGGTTGCTATATCCCCAAATATGATTTCTTCTGCGAAGTAATATGATTGTGGGTCACATATTATTTGAAAGTCCAAATATAGTTTATAAGAATGACATTTACTTGAGATTGACCTAAGCCTGAAATGGTCTCTAGAAACCCTGCTGCCTTACTTACCTCATTTAAAAATCATTGAACATTTTGAACAGTCATCAATATTCACCTAGTCTTTAACTGAGATATTACAAATCAAACATAATCAAACAAGTAGATAATTAGAAAGTCAAATAAGATAAATGTAGTAAGTCTTCCTTTACCTTACTCCTTTTATGAAAATGTCTTCATGATATAGATATTCTTATATATCTAATTTCTATTAAGACCTGGTTTTATTTCCTCATTCGAGTTTTAGAAATTTAACAATATTCTCATTTTAATAACAATTACTTATCTTATCATTAATTTTGACAAATAATATACTGCTCCAATAATGCAAACAAATATTTTGACTTAACTTCACCTTATCACAGTCTAACAAATTTGGTTTGGGGCTACATCTGTATATTAAGTTAACTCTGTCAAATTATTATTCTAAACTACTGCTTTCTTCTTAATTTTGTAGATTGAGCAATGGTCGCACAAAATGAGGATGTCATAGTGAAAGGTGCCATTCCCTACTTTAATATATTAAATAATTTTCTCTAAATGTAAACAAAGGAATCAATAATTAATGAAACAAAATTTAAGAGCTCAGTTTTTTTTTGAGGCCAAATAATACTCTCATTTACCACGGACACAATCTACTGATATCTAAGGAAACATACCTTTTTTGCCTTTGTCTCAGGGGCTGGCTGTCCAGCAAACATCTTTTTAAATTCCTCTATTTTACAAGCTTCTATTTTCTGGAACAAAGGACTTGGCTGCCAAAAAAAATAAGATTATCTGAAATTTATTCAGTTGACTTAGACTTCTACTTGCTGTATATCAAATAGGCATTTTACAATTAGGCCAAAAACAATATATGTGTGTTTCCTACCTCCTAACCAACCTTAAGTTTGATTGCCAACCCTTAAAGATCTTGTTGCCTCTTCAAAAAATGATTCAAGAAATAGCATATTGCGTGCTTTAAGTAGTAGACAAATACTATTTCCTCTGGATTATTCAGTCAAATTTGACCAAAATCTAGTGAAAAAGTTGTCATTTACATATGTACCATTATGCATGCACCAATTCCCAAAGTGTTATGTAAATCAAGATCATACTTAGAGAAAACATGTAATTTCACCAGATTTATCAAAACGCCAAAAAAAAACCAGACCTGCCCTATTTTCTGGCAAGGGACCATACATGTTTTTCATTGATATATACCAGTATATTTTGTCCCAAAGCAAATACTGAAAATCCGATCTGATGCCCTATAAACAGAGAGACCACTCTCAAATGTTTTTTTTTTGTTTTCCATGTATCAAAATGTTATCAACAACAGAGGGTAGTCTGTAATATTGTAAGAAAATAAAAGGATCATTTTTAGACTACTTCCAAATCAATGTCAAATAATAGATTTTGTCAAGAGATTAAAATTGGGGTCAAAACTCTAATTTGGCATTAAAATTAGAAAGATCATATCATATAAAATATGTGTACTAAGTTTCAAGATGATTGGACATCAACTTCATCAAAATCTACCTTGACCAAAAACTTTAACTTGAAGCGGGACAGACAAACGGAGGGAGGGACAGACGAACGGACAGATGCACAGACCGAAAAACATAATGCCCCTCTACTATCGTAGGTGGGGCATAAAAAAAAACATATATTTGACAATGCAAAACTCTGCCTGTCCTTTTTCCTTATCTAATGCAAATTTTCATTGATGTAAATGACAAAATAAAGAAATATGGTACAAATAAATAGCCAAATTGTCAAAGAATGAAAAATTGTACCTAAATGAATTCTCAAAGAAACTCATGTGACAAAATTTTGCTATACTCCCATTACTTGTCTTTAAAAATTTTGGCATCATAAAATGATTAAGTGATAGATCAGAGCTGGACTCCAAAATCTACACTTGACCTATTTTTGCTCTCATTGTTCACAAGAATCTGATATCAACACATCAGCAATTGAAAGACATGTCCTCCACAACTGAAGTTAAAAATTTATATGCATAAAAGTGCTGTGAAAGTTTGCTACCTTTCCAATTTTATGCCCGGGTGGCAGGTGGCATACAAATTCTCTATACACTACATTAGAGTCTGATGGTGTGTTTAACTGTGTCTGTATAGTCTGACTTGTCTCTGGCATATACGGCTGTAGTAACACTGACAAAAGATTGGCAATGTTGACAGCTAAACTAACAACTGTTCCTGATCTTGACCTATAGATAGAGTATACAACTTAAAGGTGGATCAGAGAATAAATGTTTTACATGTAATATCTTTATATAAAGTAATAGTTATTGCAGTTTTAACATATTTTATCAACTATGTCATCTTGGTTATAAAACAAATACAATATCTATGTACCTTCAATGACCCAAATTAAGAGGGAAAACGGTGGGAACAATCAAAACTAGTTGAAAAATGTTGATGTATCTGTCATAAGCCATCAACCACATTGACAGTTGTCTTTAGTGGTGAAATTGAAATACTGATTCAGAATGACTGCTTATTTATTATGAATACAATTTTTTTTTTAAATTTCAGAATTTAGAATTAATTACTTATATCTTTAACACCAATAAATTCAATAAATTCAAAGAAAATGTCTTTTTGATTGAAATGTTTTACATTTCAGTAAACATTTAATATTCATACTAAGGGTTCCATGAATAAATTTCCAAATTATACAATTTCTCATTTATAAGTTAGGCTATAATAATAAATGGACACTTGTCAACAACTAACTTGTCCTCTGCACCTCCTTTAACTAAGACCCATGGTTTGTTGGACTGCATAAACTGGTTCCCTAATCTGGATATACTCATTATGTTACGTATAGAGTCTCTCAATCTAAAATATAGGAATGTATAGATCTAATGCAAACAAAATGTCTCAATTCTTATATGTGAGTTTCTCCAAATTACAACTCATAAGCAGGATGTTTTAATTTGACAACACATTTTACCTTAAAGTATGCCATTAAAAGTTTTAGGTTTTTGATTGAAAGAGCTGTTTGCTTTGGTAAAAAAAAATATAAAGACATTTTCAAAATGGTATTTGTACTGCTAACATTGTTTACTTGACTGTGGTTTGACTTCAGTTTGCAAGGTAAAATTTCTGACCATTTTAATAGTTTTATCTGATCAAACAAACTGCAAAAGCCTCAAATTTTTAATTTAAGCCATCTACATTTCTCTTAATTCTTATAAAAAAAATATACTTACATTGCCTGTTCCATATTATCGATGTAGGTTTGTAACTCTCTGTTTATTAGGGCTAACAGCTCCTTATCTTCATCTCTAAGATTCATTTCTTGGATAACTCCACCAAAGTTGTCACTAAGAAACTTCAATCCCCTACCAAAACATAATGTTTTTCTTACAATTAACATTAAACACAATGTCTTTTTTTCTTGACTTTTAAACAAAAAATTTCTATTGTTTTTTTTTTTTTTCTTTAAAAAATATTGTTATATTATTAATTTCCGACCATATTTGTATCAAAATCCTGATTTGATTTTTTGATTTTGTTGGAATTTTATAGATATCATATTGTCTTCTAGACAATAACAACATATAAGTTGTTATTTCATTTCCTTTTTTTGTTTACATCTTATGTATATGAAGATTTTTTTTCTTCAAATAATCGATCATAGATATTTTTTTATAAAACTTTTAACAATATCATGAAATTCATAACATGATGTCACAAAGTATATCGGTTTTTAGATATTCTAAAAATAACCGTGCAATATGCTTTTTGCTGTGCAATATGCTTTTTTCTATCCGCCGTTTTCTCTCTACCTTCGAAAATATAGTTTAACATGTGACTATCTCTGAACGAATCAAATTAGTTAAAAAATACGAATTAATAATATTACTGGGGATTCATTTACTATTCTGGTTACCAATTTATGCAGTTTTGCCAAAGTCTACATATATTCATATAGAAAATTTGTAATTGGTTGCACTAATAAATTCATGATTCCCCTGTACCAACAAACTTCATAAAAATTGGTATCCAACAAATAATAATGAATCCACAGTATGTCATTTTTAAAAAAAATAAATATATTGAGTTATTTTTTTGAGTACCCTCAATGCATTCAGTGAAGACATAATCTTTCAATCAGTTTAATTGAAGTCTGGAGCTGGCATGTCAGTTAACTGCTAGTAGTCTGTTGTTATTTATGTATTATTGTCATTTTGTTTATTTTCTTTGGTTACATCTTCTGACATCAGACTCGGACTTCTCTTGAACTGAATTTTAATGTGCGTATTGTTATGCTTTTACTTTTCTACATTGGCTAGAGGTATAGGGGGAGGGTTGAGATCTCATAAACATGTTTAACCCTGCCGCATTTTTGCGCCTGTCCCAAGTCAGGAGCCTCTAGCCTTTGTTAGTCTTGTATTATTTTTAATTTTAGTTTCTTGTGTACAATTTGGAGTTTAGTATGGCGTTCATTATCACTGAACTAGTATATATATTTGTTTGTGGGCCAGCTGAAGGACGCCTCCGGGTGCGGGAATTTCTCGCTGCATTGAAGACCTGTTGGTGGCCTTCTGCTGTTGTCTGTTCTGTGGTCGGGTTGTTGTCTCTTTGACACATTCCCCATTTCCATTCTCAATTTTATGTGATGAGGATTTGTCTTCTTTTACTCATGTCTACCTTTTGATTTTGCTACTTTCTACAAAGTTATGATTATCACTGTTTTTGCTTTTATTTTAGCTAAATTATTAGATATTGACTTTTGTTTGAATATATAAATTTTACTTGATGTCATAGATTCAGGTCCTTTTACCTGTTAATGAAGTTTCCAAGATTGTTTAGAAGTTCACTATTATTTTTCAACAAGAAATCGTCCCAACTGAAGCTGCTATCCTGCAATGAAAATTAGACTTTAAAATTATATCTTTAATGTAATTGGTCCAGACACTTAAAAATCAAATTATAAACAAAAGTGTCAATTGAAAATGTATTCACATGTCATCTTATAAGACAGATTTTTACCAAAAAAAAATATATATATATAAATTTCCAACACTTTTCAGTATATAGACATATTTACAATTATAGGCAAATTGTCAGCCATTATCTAAAATCTCACAAGTTAACTTTGAACCGTGTTTACTATCTTAAATTTCAATCAAACTTATGCCTCCAATTAATGCTGTGAGTATTTAAGGAATAAGGTAGCAAGTGAAAGCACAAGTTCAGCAAAAGATCTCCATGAAAAAAAAGCTTTATCACTTGCTTTCATATCATTTGAATCTAAGCGAATCTAAGATCATTGTTTAAATATCAAAATCATAAACTAAACTAAGATGATGTCATCTTACTTGGGTGTAAAGCAACTCACTGAATATGAATGAGAATTACATGAGATTTTTGTCTTATATTTTACCTGTGATTCTGGTCTGACATACAGTAAGTAAAATCTAAAGATATCAGCAGGTAACCCTGTGTCCTTAGCTTGGTTTCCAAACACACCTGTTCCACGACTTTTGGAAAATTTGCCATCTTCGTAGTTCAGGTACTCTAGTGGGAGAAAAGAAAATTATCTTTATATGAAATATGTTGTATTGAAAGCAAACTATAACTTGCAATGACATTGACAAGTAATCCCTAATTCATATTTAGAGCTATTCAACTTACACATTATAGATATGACCACCCATTTGCTTGTTTATATCTTTAACTTTCAATGACATTGGTATTGACAATTCTAATAGTACGCTATTCTTTCGCTTTGGAAACAAAGCCATGTTCTAATTCCAATAGAACATGGGCTGCACGTGTTTGACATTACAATTGAAATTGCAATGTCAGTTGTATATTGAACAATGCTGGAGTTGAAAATGGATATTTGTGTTGGTGTTGCTTGCTAGGATATTAAATAAAATCATTTTAAAAGTAAGTTTACATGTATCTGTTAATTTTTTGTTGTGAAATAGTTGATTTTCTATAATATTGTTGCTTCATCAAATCAAAATGGTTGCCTTTCAAACATGTATTATTGGACAATTTCGAAGTACAAAAGTTCTTAATTTTCCTAGTAGAATCAAAATAATGCTAATGCTCAGTAAACATGTATTATTGGTCAATTTCGAAGTACAAAAGTTCTAAATTTTCCTATTAGAATCAAATTAATGCTAATGCTCAGTATAAAGATATTGACAAATATAATGCCTACCCATGTTAAAATGAGCAAATAGTATGGCATGAAAGAATTATTTCTTAAGTAATCCCCATTTCATATTTTCACACATTAATCACCATCCATCCTCCCTGACATACCATCAAAACAACTTCTATGTCTATTTTGATTGGATATCATATGTCTTCCTTGGTAGAAATAGTTAGCAGATAGATCTTGACATTCTGAGTATTTTTTACCCAGCCAGATTTTCTGCATACATATTATAGATTTCAAGATATTAGACATTTATTTGCACATTTTAAGCAATACCAGCCATGTTTTGATTGAAAATGGGATAATTCAAAATATCTTTAAAAGGAGACTCACTAAAAATTGAGGTAGGGAAACTTTTGTTCAAATCTGCCCAGTGGTTTCAGTGTAGATTTCTGAAAAAGTTTGAGATGGATGACAGAAGGACCACAAAGTGGTGTTAAAAGCTCACACAGGTCAGCTAAAAAATGAGAGTTTTGGAAAGTTACTAAGGGGATATTCATACAAACTTAAGCATAAGGATTTGGGAAAGTTATTTAGGGGATATTGGTTTATGGCAATTTGGTACCTTTATTTTCATTTTTCAAACCCCATAACCTGACGAATATTGGTTTCTTAAGTTAAACCACATAAAACTTTCCATGACAGCCTTGGAAGACAGCAGTTTAATTGTACTTGTCGGATAGGTCATTATATTGCTAGAAAACCAAATAATCTCATTAAACCTAAATTCTGATTTCATAAACTAATTGAAATAAGAAAATGAAGTCAAAGGCATATATCTGATAGAAACTTAAGATCATAAGACACGTTCGTACCACTTATGGTTTATATTATAGTGTGTTTTTCTATGTTGTGATGTTATACTATTGTTTCAGGTAGGGTGAACATTGGCGCCTATTAAAACGTTTAAACCCGCTGGATTTGTTTGCACTTGTCAAAAGTCAGGAACCTGAAGTTCAGTGGTTGTCGTTTGTTGATGTGGTTCATAAGTGTTTCTTGTTTTTTTATATAGATTATACCGTTGGTTTTCCTGTTTGAATGGTTTTACACTAGTCATTTTTGGGCCCTTTATAGCTTGCTGTTCGGTGTGAGCCAAGGCTCCGTGTTGAAGGACGTGCTTTGACCTATAATGGTTTACTTTTACAAATTGTGACTTGGATGGAGAGTTGTCTCATTGGCACTCATACCACATCTTCTTATATCTATTTACTTAATTGAAATAAGAAAATGGAGTCAAAAGCATATATCAGATAGAAATGTAAGACCATAAGACACGTTAGTACCTAATATGGTTTATTTACTTTAATTGAAAAAAGAAACTGAAGTCAGGCATATATCAGATAGAAACGTTAGACCATAAGACACGTTCTTACCACATATGGTTTATTTACTTAATTGAAACAAGAAAATGAAGTCAAAGACAACTGACATATATCAGAAAAAAACTTCTGACCATTAGAATTATTGGTACAAATCAAGGTACAAATCCTGATTGTTAATCTCCTCTTTCTCTTTGAAATATCAAGATGAGATAATTAAAACTGTGGCCTTCAAATCAGCAACCAGATTAGGTACATTGTACCTGTCTTTCCATCTGAGACAGATGTCTATCACCAAACAATATTTTTTTATTTTTTTTATATGCTTAAACATACTCTAAAGATTGTTGTCCTGTTAAATGTAATTTTAAGTTATTATCACATTTCTGAAGGAAACTTACAGTAACTATTCATTAACACTTTTAAATGGTAACCTTTATTTGCATTTTCTTTTTTATATATATTAATCTTTTAAATTCATATACATTTAAACAATTTACACATTGTGTGTCTGGATAATTTAAAGGGCCTTCAATATTGGCAGTGTATGTTTTAGGGAGAAAAAAATTAAGTTGTTTTAGCGACAACAACTAGAGGCTCTCAAGAGCCTGTGTCACTCACCTGTATCTACTTTGGTTTTGGGAATCATGTAAAAATAGATTAAAATCATAACAGATACCCTAAAAATGATTGAGGCCAAATTTGGTTTAATATTGGCCCCGTAATTTAATCAAAAGCAGAAGGCTTTTGGAAAGTTTACAGAAATTACAAATAAATTCATTGAAATTGTAGAAAATGACTTTATAAGGACAATAACTCCAACAAGATGTCAATTGACAATATTGCTCATGTTGACTTATGTGTAGATCTTCTTTTCTTGATATTTTTGCAGTTTACAGAAGATCTCAATATATAAAGATACATGTATTAAGGTCTTCATCAGCACCTCATAAGGAACATTTATGCCATGTTTAGTTTCATTCCATTCAGTGCTCCTCTAGAAGAAGCATTTGCATGTATTTCCCATAGGGTCTTATGTAAAACTAAGTCCCCTGCTGGCGGCCATCTTGGATAATGGATCAGCTACAAAGTGACAACACTTGGTCAGCACCTCATAAGGAACATTCATGCCATGTTTGGTTTCATTCCATTCAGTGGTTCTCTAGAAGAAGTTCAAAATGTAAAAAGTTAACGACGACGACGACGGACAAAGGACGCCAATAAACTGCTTCGCTGAGCGCAGCTGGATACACCTGCAGAGGTCCAACCCTGAACAGTTGGGGCAAAAATGGACACAATATTCAAGCTTGATACAGGTCTGAATTTGGATTGTAATTAAATATTTGACATATTATAGGTTTCTGAATCAATGTAGTCGAAGAACTTGAAATTGGTTACTAGTATATGAATTGAATTTATATTCAATTAAAGATTTCTTGCTGTTGTGCAATACGCTGTGCTGTTGCGAACACAGCATTTAATTGTACTTGTCGGATAGGTAATTATATAGCTAGAAAACCATTTTTCCCCAAAAATTGACAATAATTCTGTTTACAGTTGTCCTATTACTAAAACATTGAAGTAAATACATAACCGAAAATATCAAATAATCTCATTAAACCTAAATTCTGATTTCATAAACTAATTGAAATAAGAAAATGGAAGTCAAAGGCATATATCTGATAGAAACTTAAGATCATAAGACACGTTCGTACCACATATGGTTTATATCATAGTGTGTTTTTCTATGTTGTGATGTTACACTATTGTTTCAGGTAGGGTGAAGGTTGGCGCCTATTAAAACGTTTAAACCCGCTGAATTTGTTTGCACTTGTCCAAAGTCAGGAACCTGATATTCAGTAGTTGTCGTTTGTTGATACGGTTCATAAGTGTTTCTTGTTTTTTTATATAGATTAGACCGTTGGTTTTCCTGTTTGAATGGTTTTACACTAGTCATTTTTGTGCCCTTTATAGCTTGCTGTTCGGTGTGAGCCAAGGCTCCGTGTTGAAGGACGTACTTTGACCTATAATGGTTTACTTTTACAAATTGTGACTTGGATGGAGACTAGTCTCATTGGCACTCATACCACATCTTCTTATATCTATTTACTTAATTGAAATAAGAAAATGAAGTCAAAGGCATACATCAGACCACATTTTGTTTATTTACTTAATTGAAATAAGAAAATGAAGTCAAAGGCATATTTCAGATAGAAACGTTAGACCATAAGACACGTTCGTACCACATATGGTTTATTTACTTAATTGAAATAAGAAAGTGAAGTCAAAGGCATACATCAGATAGAAACGTTAGACCATAAGACTGTTCGTACCACATACATGACATACGGTTTATTTTCTTATTTGAAATATGAAAATGGAGTCAAAGACAACTGACATATATCATCATACAAACATGACCATTAGAATTATTGGTATAAATCATGGATTATTCATCTCCCCTGTCTCTTTGGAATACATGTACTGTAAATTCAGAAATTATTGCATGCATTTATTATTGTGATTTTTGAAGATTGGACAAAAATATGAGATAAATTATTGCAATTTCAGGAAAATCTGCATAAAGATGTATGTTTCAGATATCAGAATGCAAGTTCTTATTAATGCGATACTCACCCAATCGCATTATTCGCATTAATAAAAACCTCATAATAATTTCTGAATTTACAGTATCAAGTTGAAATACATTTTATCACCAGATAATTCTATTCAATCATTAATCACCTCCAACCCCCTGACATACCATAGAAACAAGTTATATGTCTGTTTTGCTTTGATATTGTAGTCTTCCTTGGCAGAAAAAGATAGCAGACAGATATTGACATTCTGAGTATTTTTTACCCAGCAACATTTTCTGTACATATATCATAGATTTCTTAGCAGCACCTCATAAGGAACATTCATGTCATGTTTGGCTTCATTCCATTCAGTGGTTCTCTAGAAGAAGACATTTGTATGTATTGTCCATAGGGTCCTATGTTAAACGAAGTCCCTTTGCTGGCGGC